AAATCAGTTTGGTGGTTTTATGCGAGTGCACATTTTAATAACAATGCCGCGTCCTAGAAGATCTAATCTTTCCCAGCGAAGCCGTAATGCAATTAGGCAACGGAATATCGTGAGTCAATTATATAATGGAGAATGGGAAATTGCACGAAAACAGCGACGTGTTAGTATGGAGCAAAGAAGGGCCTTAATTCGTGCTTCTCAAAGACAAGAGCAAAAAGAGGCAGCCCTTGAAACGGGTGACCTGTGGAACAAATACAAAGATAACATGTCAGAAGATATTTTATATCGAATTCGAGTCAAGAAAATACGATCTTGAGGTGAATGAGGAGATCCATAACCAGACTTTGCTCTTGATCGAAGATATGTGTTACCTCATGTGCGGCAGTTTGTTAGTTAGGTTAGGAATGCCAGCGCCAGATCGCGGAATGAATGACGCATTTAATAGAGAATTGGAACGTGAACGTGAACGTGAATATGATCCACATGAACTAATCGAATCAGTTCAAACGAATGTACCTCTGTTGAATCCTAAGCAGAGGGAAGTCTATGATACACTGATTAATGCAATTGATGATGGAAATGGCGGCTTATTTTTTTTGGATGCCCCCGGTGGAACTGGGAAGACATTCCTCATGTCATTGATTTTGGCCACTGTACGTGCTAGATCCGAAATTGCGGTAGCAATTGCTTCTTCTGGAATAGCGGCCACATTGTTAGACGGATGCCGTACGGCTCACTCAGCGTTAAAATTGCCATTAAACCTTCAAACTACTGAACAACCGACATGTAACATTTCGAAACACTCCGCAATGGCCAAAGTTTTAGTAGCATCAAAAATCATCATATGGGACGAATGCACAATGGCGCACAAACGCGCATTGGAAGCACTAGACCGAACATTAAAAGATCTGCGAAATGACTCGAGATGTTTTGGAGGTGCAATGATTTTATTATCTGGCGATTTCCGACAAACACTACCAGTCATTCCAAGATCTACTGCTGCCGACGAAATAAACGCTTGCCTCAAAGCATCAAATCTGTGGCGATATGTAAAGAAACTTCAACTGTCTGTAAATATGAGAGTTGCATTGTTGAACGATCTATCTGCTGATGATTTCTCGAAGCAACTGCTGACTATCGGTAATGGCCGTGTTCCTGTTGACAAATCGAGCGGTTTGATTTCATTTCCTCCAAATTTTTGCAATTTCGTATCATCAAAAGACGAGCTTATCAACAAAGTATTCCCGGATATCATTGCTAACCACAAAAATACTAAATGGTTAAGTGAGCGAGCAATTTTGGACGCTAAAAATAAAGATGTATATGACCTCAATATTATAATTCAAAATCAAATCGTAGGTACTCCTATATAAATATATTATTTTGTATCATTGTTTTACGTTCATCAAAGCCTAAATTAGTTCAGCTAAAAAGTAACACGACATTCATTGACTGTTAGGCGGTACGAAGTTTGCCGGGTCAGCTAGTAATTTCTATAAACAAAAACTGAGATTAAAAGATGATGAACCAGTGTATATAAAAAATTACCGAAGTCCACATAGTCAGGTGAACGAAATACAAAAGCAAGTAGGAAAATTGATCTCCGACGGGATTGTTGAACCATCTGTAACTGAATATAATAGTCCATTGTTACTTGTACCTAAGAAACCCTCACCCGGTTCAGAAGTAAAGAAATGGCGATTAGTGATTGACTATCGCCAGAATAATAAAAAAAATACTATCTGATAAATTTCCACTCCCTAGAATTGATAATATTTTGGTTCAATTAGGTCGAGCAAAATACTTTTCATGCCTTGACTTAATGTCAGGATTTCATCAAATTGAACTCGAAAAAAGTTCAAGAGATATAACGTCTTTATCAACGAGCAACGGCTCATATCGCTTCACGCGATTACCTTTTGGATTAAAAATAACGCCTAATTCATTTCCGAGAATGATGACTATTGCATTCTCTGGACTAGAACCTTCTCAAGCATTCCTTTATATGGATGACTTAATAGTAATCGGTTGTTCCGAAAAACATATGCTTTAAAACTTAACAGATGTTCTTGAGAATTGTAGGAAATACAACCTAAAGTTACACCCAGAAAAATGTTCATTTTTTTATGCATGAGGTGACTTTTTTCGGTCATAAATGCACTGATAAAGGAATACTTCCAGACGACAAGAAATATGACGTCATTATGAACTACCCAGTACCGCACGACGCGGACGTAGCATTTTGTAACTATTATAGACGCTTTATAAAAAACTTCGCCGACTATTCACGGCACATAACAAGATTATGTAAAAAGAATGTTCCTTTTCAATGGACGGATGAATGTCAAAATGCATTCCAATATTTAAAAACAAAACTTATTGAACCTACTTTGCTACAACATCCGGATTTTAGCAAAGAAATCTGTATAATTACAGATGCAAAAAGCAAGCAAGTGGAGCGGTTTTAACTCAAAACCATGATGGACTCTAACTTCCAATTGCATATGCATCACGAGCATTTACAAAAGGAGAAAGTAACAAGTGTACTACTTAGTAGGAATTAGCTGCAATTCATTGGGCAATATTACATTTTCGACCATACATTTATGGAAAACATTTTATAATTAAAACAGATCACAGGCCTTTGATATATCTATTTTTAATGATCAATCCAAGTTCTAAACTGACACGTATGAGGCTCGAATATTTAAAGGGTAAATACAATTATGTAGCTGATGCGTTATCAAGAATAACCATTAAAGAGCTACAAAATATTACAGGACATATACTGAAAGTCACTACTAGACATCAAAGTATACAAAAATTCCACGAGGAAAATAAAGAAATAGAATTGCCTAAGCAAACTATTGAGAAAGCTTCAAACCCCAACGTATATGAAGTCATCAACAATGACGAAGTACGTAAAGTAGTGACCTTGCATATTAAAACTAAGCTATGTTTCTTTAAATATGGTAAGAAAATAATTGTAAGATATGATGTTACCGATATACTAACGGAATTCTTGACTTAGGTCAATTCTTCCAAAGGCTTGAAATTCAAGCCGGTATAAATGAAATCAGCCAACTCAAAGTGGCACCGTGGGAAAATATCTTTGATCAAGTATGAATCCATCGATAATTTCAAAAATATGGGCAATAAAATATTAAAATCATTAAGAGTAGCGCTACTCAGCCCGGTGACCCAAATAAAAAGTTTAAAAGAAAAAGAAGCAATACTGTCTACATTTCACGACGATCCACTTCAAGGAGGTCATACTGGCATATCAAAAAACTTTGGCCAAATTCAAAAGACACTATTACTGGAAAAGTATGTCTAAAGATATAACTGAGTACGTAAGAAAATGTCAAAAATGTCAGAAAGAGAAAATTACATCGCATACAAAGACTCCATTAACAATAACTGATACACCTATAAATGTTTTTGAATCATTTATTCTGAAGTACGGTCCCATGAAGACGTTCATTACCGACATGGGAACAGAATATAAGAATTCAATTATAAATGACTTGTGCAAATATTTAAAAATTAAAAAAATAACATCTACTGCACCCACCACCAGATAGTTGGGACAATCGAAAGAAGTCATGGAACTTTTAATGAATACATACGATCTTATATATCAGTTGATAAAGCTGATTGGGACGTATTGCTTCAATATTTCGTTTTTTGTTTCAAAACGACCCCCTCAATGGCACATAATTATTGTCCATATGAGTTAGTTTTTGGTAAAACAAATAATTTACCAAAAGAATTTAATAGTATAGATAACATAGAACCGATATATAATATAGATGACTATGCTAAGAAAAGTAAATATAGACTAGAGGTAGCATACAAAAGAGCTAGAATTATGATAGAAGAAAATAAGAAAAGAAATCAGAAACTATATGATCAGAAAGTAAGAAATATCGATATATCAGTAGGTGATAAAGTTTTGCTAAGAAACGAAACAGGTCATAAGTTAGATTCTAAATATACTGGTCCGTAAAAAGTAACGGAAATAGGATATAGAAATAACATTATAATAACGAATAATAAAAAAAGGAAGCAAACAGTTCATAAGGATAGATTAAAAATTTGTATTTCATAATTGTATTTAGTGTGGCCACGCATAGGAATGAATTTGAAAAAAAAAAAAATTAAAAAAAAAAATTAAATTTTTAACTTCTTCTAAATACACTTTTCTATACATATATGATAAGTAATAAACATAACTATAATTTAGTTTAAAAAAAATAACTTCATATATATTACGTTATTTTTCAAAAGGAGGGAGATGTAGTATGCATATATAGCCAATACCCACTGTACCAAGAGTACTTAAAGGGACCACACTGTAAAATTTTGTTGCAGTGCTTATGCAATAAATATTCCCAGGCATATTTCAAGTGCGACGAAATACGATTACACATTTATGCCTGGTACAACATTAGTGCAGCGTCGTCATATTTCACATAGCCGACGGCACATGAATATGATCCGCACAAAAATGTGCATATTCCCTTCGCGCCCCCCCGCTTTCAGAAGCGCTAAGCATATACAAATATATGAGAATAAACGAATGCGGCCGCTCCGCTGCCGGCGTCTCGGCCAGCGCAGCTATGCGGCCCTATCTAAGAAACTCTTTGTAAGAAATATAAAAAGACATTCAATAAAGAACAGACGAGGGGAACGGATGTTCCTCTTGATTAAAAGAACAATCAAACTGACACATATTACACCTTATTAGGACATGCGTCCAAGCGCTGGCGGCCCGATCCCGGCTTTCCACATCTCTCACGCGACTCGCCCCTCTATTTGCGGCCCTTTCTCTGCCGCTATCGGAGAGCAACCCGGGTGATTTTGCCGCGACCGGATATTTTCGGATAAACCCTTCCCGACCTTATTCCCCGCAACACTGTGTGGAACCATGTTCCTCACACTCTCCTCTTTCTTCCGATAGCGGAAAACTCCCTTTTCTGCCCCGTCGTGGCGGCTGCTCATCCATCGTTTTGAATCTGGCATTGGGCGGGATTTCTGTACTGCGACGTGCGCCATCTGGCGGTACCAGCACTCCCCGCACGCTGATCAGTTTCTTCACCCGGCGCCCCACCAACCGGATCCGGGCCTGCGCTCCCGCGACCGTCCGAGGCTCCGGGCACGATGCCTGCCCTTTCAGGCAGGGCCTTCCGGCCGTTGCCGCCACTGTACTCGGCCACTCCCATGGCCCGCGCTCCCAGGACTCGATCTCCGGCCTCCCAGGTGGGTTCTCCGACGTGTCGGTCACTGTGCTCGGCCTGCCGGTCTCCATCTCCGCCCTGATCTTCGTCGGTGCCACCGGCGCCGTCTCTGCCGCCGTCTCTGCCGCCGTCGCCGCGTCTGCCGTCGCTTCCTCTGCCGTCAGCACCTCTGCCGTCGCCGTTTCCGCAAACGTCGCCGCTTCTGTCGTCGCCGTCTCTGCTGTCGGTACCTCTGCTGACGCCCACGTCGCCGCCTCTGCCGTCGCCGTCTCCGCTGCCGTTGCCGCGTTTACCTTCCATCCCGCGCCCCTATTCCGCGGATCACGTTTGTTGCTCCGCTGCGGAAACTCCTCCCACACGTGTGCGCGGCTTCTCTTCACCGTCGCCGTCGGATTCCTCCTTCGACTCGCTGGTACTCTCCTCGGAGGTCACCGCCGCGTGCCTCTGCTGTCATTCTTCCTGCTTGGCCCTGATGCGCCGCGCCATCTCTGCGATCACCTGCCTCACCTACTGGATTCGGAGGCTCTCCTTTTCGGCTGCATTCGCCGTCTTGCGTCGCCATGCTGCCCGTCGTTTCTCCTGCTAGCTGACCGCTCTCCTCGCTCCGCTTCCACCACCTCGATCTCTTCGGAGCCGCTGCCACCGGGAGACACGATCGGCGTGCTCGTCTCGGGCCCCGAGGTTGCCGGCGACACCATCAACTGCAGCTCCGGTGAGCTACTCCGCCCCCTCCCTCGTCACCTCGCGAGAGCATTTCCGCCCGTCGCTGACTGAGGGTGGTGACATCGCAGCCACCTTCCTGCAAAATCTCGTTCTGCTCGCTTACAAAATCAATCACTGCGTTCACCTTATCCTCCCACGGTCAGTCTCCTCGATCTGACTCTCGGTCGTGTGACTCCCCCATGCAGTGGCTCGTACGCGAGGCTCATCCAACACCTCGCTCGGCAGACCACGCATGGGCGGCACACGCCATCAGTTCCGATGTTCGTCCCCGCTCTTGGCTCGTCTGCTGTGGTAAGAGCCTGGTCCTGGACCATCATCTTGCCGGTGTACTTTTAGCAATAATTTTTAGTGTTAATCCTTCTCGTTCATCCTGCGCGATGATACTTCTTCCTCCGCCCCCTACTACCTCCTTTTTTTTATTAGTCCGTTGGCTGCGGCTTTAGGTCCCCTATGTGCGCGTTCCGCGTTCGTTTGTCACCCTCCTTCTTTAATTTCACTGTCACGGGCGACACGAAATTTACTATTTGACAGGGCCCATCATATCTTGGGGCCAGCTTTGCCGCGAAACCATCCGCCGCGCTCGACAAGTGATGTTGCTTAACCCATACCACTTCTCCCACCTTCGGCTTCCACGGCCTCCTTGGCAGATTGTAATACCTGGCTTGATCCTGGGCAGCTTTCTCAAAATTCCGACGCACCAGTTGTAATAATTCTTTCAGCCGCGTGGCGTTATCTTCCGTTGTCTGAGTCTCTTGTCCAGTTCCAATTGTCTCCTCGTCATACAAGGCTCTTGGCAATCGGGGCTCTCTCTATCTCCTGGACAATGAATGCCGGCGAATATCCCGTCGATTCTGAAACCCCAGAATTCATGACCAACATGACTCAGGCCATTTATCGTCCCAACATCTCTGATTCCCCTCGGTATATTGCGCTATCATGGTCTTCACCGTGCAATTCTTGCAATTGTTAATTGGTGGCAGACGCCCATTCCCACGACGAACCTTTTGAAAGCCCGACTTGTGAATTGGACCCCGTTGTAAATAATCACCACCTTAGGCACCCTGAACCGCGATACGATGCGCTCCCTAAACGCCTTTGTGAGTGCTTTGGCCGTGGCCTTCCTTATTAGCACTAGTTCGGTCCATTTGGAGAAACGATCTACGAGTACCAGTAGCACCGAATTTCCATGTTTAGACCTCGGCAGTGGTCCCACGAAGTTGGCACACACCATCGCCCACGGCTCCTCTAGGATTTGGGTCAACATAGGTCGCGCTTCCGCACGTACTGTCTCACGTCTCTATGCATCCCCGGCCAGTTATACCTGGCCGCTATTCGCAACGCAGTCCTTCTTCCTCCCGCGTGCTTCCGGGTCATCGTTATTCTCCTTCAGCACCCTTTACCGGCCCTCTCGTGGCACACATAACTTCCATGAAGCCACTTCCTCGTTTCCTGCTCGATGGGTAATATGTCGGTATAGGCCTGCCGCCTTTTCCACATAGTCCGGTTACTTTTGGGGTTCCTTTTTGACGCGTTTTCCTCAGGCCAGTCATCCATTTGCAGGGTGTTCCTTCCGCCTTATCATCGCCCTCTTTCTTGTCCATTCAAAGGCATCGTTCCATCACTGGCTGCCTAGAGAGTGCTTTCGCGACCACGTTGAGCTGCCCTTTCCTGTATGCCACTTCAAAGTCATACTGTTGCAGTTCCAACGCCCATCTGGCCACCCTCCCTGCCGGACTCTCTATGCTGTTCAGCTATTTCAGAACCATGTGAGCCGTGACCACCTTGAAGCGGTATCCTTCTAGGTATGGTTTCAGCCGCCTGACAGCCCATACTATGGCCAGACATTCCTTCTTGGTTGCTGAGTAATTTCTCTCAGCACCATTCAGCGACCTGCTGGCATACGATATTACCCGTTCTCCCCGTTCTGTCTCCTGTATCAGAATCGCTCCCAAACCGTAATCACTTGCGTCCGTTTGTAACACAATCTTCTTTGAAAAGTCTGGGCATGCCAACACGGGGCCTGCCACCAGTCGACCCTTCACTGGTCCACTCCCAGGCTACCTTCTTCTTCAGCAATGCCTTGAGTGGTTGCACCAACGTTGCAAAGTCGGGCAGGAACCAGCGATACCATGACGCCACCCCCCGGTATTGGCGGTTTTAATTCGGATATCGGATATTGGAATGTAGCCGACGCCGAGTGCAGACCGAACGGCATTACCTTCCATTGGTACAACCCCTTCCCAGGCACGGTGAAGGCAGTGATCTGCCGGCACTTTTCCTCCAGCGGTATCTGCCAGTATCCGTCCTTCAGATCCAAACTGCTGATGAAACGTGCCTCTCGCAGCTGTTCTAGGATATATAGTCGATCCTCGGTACTCGTACTCGATCCTGCACAGACTTGGTATTCACCTGTCAAAAGTCGACACACATCGTCAATTGGCCCGTCTTTTTCTTTACCATGACTATCGGGGAACTGTAGGGACTCTTCGATGGCTCTATGCATCCCAACTCTAGCAAATCATCCACTTTCCTTTTAATCTCTGCTTGCATCTTGGGGTTGTTCGGATAGAACCGCTGTTTGACCGGCTGTGCATTACTCATGGTGATTGGGTGCGTTGCCACGTTGGATACTCCCTTCAGCTTCAGCCTGATTCCCGGGCGAGGGAAGTCTCTACCGACTCCTCACTTGGCGCTTCGTCTGGCCGAGCTCCAGTGGGAGTCACAGCCGTGGCCTCTGCCTGGGTCCCCCCGCCGAAGCTGCCGGTTCCGAAGCCGTGTTCGCGGTCTCCACTATCGCCACTGACAGTCTCTCTTCTATTCCTTCTCGAATCTGATCTCTGACGGGGCTCACCACCCTGTGCCCCGCACAGGTCACCACCGCCCCGACCGATCTAAGGAAATCCCACCCTAGAACCAACTCGACGATCACGCCCGGCAATATTAGCAACTTCAACGACACTTCCTGGTTCCCGGAGGCCATCTGCACCTCGAGTTGTCTCTTTATTTCTTGACTATGGCCGGCGGCCAGACGCACCCTCTTCCTCGTAGCTATCTTTCTCCCGGCCCCTCCTAATCTGTCCGCCCATTCGAAACTGATGAAACTACTGGTGGCTCCCGTATCCACCGTAGCCTGCAGCTCCCGCGATCGTCACCACTGCGGCCAGCTGAATTTCCTCACTCGTGAGCCTTCCAACTAGGGTGTGGGGGCGGTTTCCTGCGACCCCGGCACAACCCTCCTCGGGTTGGGTCGCGGGGCCTTTCCCGTCTTCTTGCAACAATCCCATGTTGACTTTCCGACCTTCCCGCATCTCCAGCAATATGTGAGAGGCCGAGCACTGCCTTCTCGCGACCAATGCTCTCCGCTTCTTTACCCGTTCTGGATGTGGCTTGTCATTGTGGGCGTGGCCGCTGACTTGGTTTCTTCTCCCTTTTGTGCGGTCGATCCTTCCTTGGAAGGATTATATATTGGAGTGGGTTAGTTTTTCACTACCCTCACACTCTCCCACGCCACCCACAGTTCCACCCACAGGCCGAAACGCCCCACCCTCACTCTACGCCACACCCACTCTCTCGGATGAGGAAAGCGAGCGGATTGGCCGCCCATGCTTTAGTTGTGGGGTACTCTCGTTGGAAGTCTACGCTATCCCTCTCCAACTCTTCGAACTCGTCCGCCAACGCCATCATCGCATCCAAATCCCGGCATCTATGCGACCGCATGTATGCCCTCAAATCTGGCATGCTGTTCTCTTTTATCAGCTCCGTTTGTTCTTCCTGGGACATTTTAGGGGTGGCATGAGCGTCTGCATTTCCACAATATACTCCTTAAACGTCTCTCCCCACTTTTGCTTCCGGGTCCTTCTTGTAGTAGCTTCTCGAAGAGCATTGGTCGCGAGAAGGCAGTGCTCGGCCTCTCACATATTGCTGGAGATGCGGGAAGGTCGGAAAGTCAACATGGGATTGTTGCAAGAAGACGGGAAAGGCCCCGCGACCCAACCCGAGGAGGGTTGTGCCGGGGTCGCAGGAAACCGCCCCCACACCCTAGTTGGAAGGCTCACGAGTGAGGAAAAATACGCCTGGAAACTATCGGAGAAGTCTATACTTGTTTGCCACTGCCGATTGTTCGCCACAAAACACATCAACGCCCGCACCTTTAGAAGCTCTGGCATCGCCCTTGGAATCAGATCCGGATTCAGACCGTACGTCTCGGCTGACCACTCGACCTGTTCCAAGAACTCGAGGGGCTTCGTCGTCCCGTCAAACCGAAACGACCACTCTCTCACCTGTTTAGCCACCCTGGCGTAATCCAGATGTGCCGGCCTCGTGTTTGGGATGTCAGGCGTTCTCTCTAGCTCCCGGCTTCTATCTCGACTTGCGTGTCGGTGTCGGCTAGGGGTCGGAGTGGCCAATCGTTTCGGCACCGCCAGGCTCGCGATGAGCTCCTGTTGTTTTTCCGTCGGCGTTTTCCACAGTGTCGCCGCCGCCATGTCGTCCGGGAGCAACAGGTGGTCCCGTGCGCCTTGCTTGTGGTCAGCCCTGAGTGCTGGCGCGGCCTTGCCTGCCCAGTATTCCCATGCCTC